GGTTATTTGTTGCGGTTTCAAAGTATCGATCCGTGAGAAAACGTATTTTACAGTACAACTTCCTTGCTAACTGGCACAGCGAACTCCGAGTCCCGTCCCAAATCTACTAAAGCAGTTAGGAAGAAAATAAACAGTCGGCAGAAGAAGAAGATATGCAGAAATTATTTAGCTTGGCTCAGAGTATCATGTCCGCCATTTTAGTAATTCCTTGTTTTGCTTTGTCGTCATTATTCACTGATAATTATATTAGTATTGCTGAAAGTGTTTACAAGTAGGACTCTTTTACATATGCGTCAGTACATACACCTCTCAACTACCATGCATGTGACAAAAGTATCTTAATGTGGTAATCTAGTCATATTTGGGTAACTGTACACACACACACACACACATATATATATATATATATATATATATATATATATATATATATATATATATATATATATATATTAAATAAAAAACAGACGACTTTAAGGTTCCATGTAATAAATTATTTCACCACAGCCCTGTTAAAGGACTGCGGATCATCAGACTTTACTTCCAAAGGTTGAAACAAAAAAGATTTTTTGTTTAAAAGGGCTGTGGTGAAATAATTTATGGTCTGTTTTTTATTTAAATTATTTGCTCTGGATTTACATTGAGGTCTCTGGATTTTATCCTCCTTGGGTTTACCGATACGGTTTACCAAGTTTTTCATAAACTATATATATATATATATATATATATATATATATATATATATGATATGATATGATAAAGTTAATCGGTAATCCGTATGGATAATTCCAGGGAGGATAAAAATTCAGAGAGCTCAATGTAGCAGACAGAGCAAGTAATAATTAATTAACAAATCGGAAACTTTAGAAAGCCATGGTAATATTTTATATTTCGCGAGACCGATAAAATTCGATTTCGCTTCATCAAACCTTGCGGTTTCAAAACTATATATATATATACACACACACACACATATATATGTGTTTGTGTGTGTGTGTGTGTGTGTGTGTGTGTGTGTGTGTGTATGAAGAAAAATATACGGAAAAAACAAACAAAAATCCTAATATTCAATTATGCTGTTTTAATGTTAATATAATGTCAACGTCGGACGTTTCGGTCTAGTAGACCATCGTCAGGACATATTCATAAAACATAATTAACATTAGACTATATTTAATTCAACATGAAAAGACGATGGACATAAGAGTAAGACTAATCTAAACAGACTGTTAATTAAGTCTTTTGAATATGTTAATGTTTTGTGAAGATGGTCTACTAGACCGAAACGTCCGACGTTGACATTATATTAACATTAAAACAGCATAATTGCATTTTTTTTGTTTGTTTTTTACGTACGTTTTTCTTCATACTGTCGGATCTATATCTATATATTTGCTTACATATATATATATATATATATATATATATATATATATATATAAAAACTTTATTTTTAGGGGATGACCGTGTTTGAAATAGACGCTCTGTTTTGAAATTTACTGTGCGCCTCACAAAAAAGCAGGAAATTTTAGATTTAATATATGGTGGAAAAATATTATGTAACATGAAAAATATATTATGATATTTTACGATATGAATGAAGTAAAAAAATAACTGACATATAATTTTTAAAAAAAAGTTATTGTTCCAGGATTTGGCTGTTATGAAATTTTCAATGCGCGGTGTGTTGTTCTCTTTAAGAATGAACAGTCAATATGGCGTTCTCTAGTTTAAACAATACATCTAACATTTGTGTTTTTGTTCTGTTTTGAAGCTACTAAATTTCTATCGTTTGCTTTTGTTTCAAATAACTGTAACAAAAATTCAACCAATTAAATAATCTTCATTTTTGTTTTTGTTTTTGTTTTTTTGTGGGGCACCCTGTAAGTTTAAATAGCGTGTATTAAGTCTACCGGCCTGAGCACTTGAGAAAACTTAATAAAGAAAATGTACTCACCTGTGTGGTTTCATGAGGGCACAAGCCGATAAGCTTAATACATATTATTTAAAATTAAAAAAAAATAGGGCGTCTGTTTCAAATATGGGCATCCAATAAAATAAAATTTTAATTAACAAAATATCGAATTAAAAATAAATCCATATATATATATATATATATATATATATATATATATATATATATATATATATATATATATGCGCAAGTATGCAGAAAAATAGGAAGAAACACGTTAGGTAAGCAATCCGGAGTTCCTTAGTATTTTTGCTTTTATTTTTAAGAAGACAGTGCTCCATAGAGAAGTAGAGATTATATTATAATATTTTTTTTAAAAATATGATTCCTTCGCTAGATAAGAGTTCTCCTGTTTCATGGACCATACTTATAAACACGCGCAAACCACAAGATTCCTAAATTTTCGCTTGAAGATGAAACGGGACTCAACACCTTAATTCAACTTAATTTTAATAATTATATTGATGGTTTCGGCTCTCGTTTTTGAAACATGAGAACTCTTATGTTATGAAGGAATCATATTTT